TTTTATTTTGAAACCTATTGTCTAGATCAGGGCTCAAAATTTCAAGTCCTGAGCTACTAGCCAGGCCTTAATTACTCGCCACTAATTGCCCCACCTAACCCCTACCCTGCCCCGGCCTTAACTCCACCCCTAAACACGCCCTCTTAAATGATCTTATGATAATTATTTTCTTATGATAGTTGCCGCTTGTAAATGGCAGATTAGGGATTCCTGCTGCAGGAAAACGCAAGTTCCTGATGCAGGAATCCCTAATCACACCTGAAATATAGGTGTCAATGGGCCCAATTATCGCAGGGCCTACAAATTTAGGAGCACCGTCTTTTTATTCTACCTGGCCTGTGCTTTCAGGAAATATATGGTTTCGGGGGTCTTTTTTTTTTACAAACACTAGCAATGCAGGACAGTGGCATAGTGGTTAGCGCTTCTGCCTTATAGCACTGGGGGTCCCTGGTTGAAATCCCAGCCAGGGTCACTATCTGCAAGGAGTTTGCATGTTCTCCCTGTGCTTGCGTGGGTTTCCCCTGGGTACTCCAGTTTCCTCCCACACTCCAAAGACATGCTGGTAAGTTAATTGGCTCCTCTCTAAGTTGGCCATCTATGTATGCATGTGAGATAGGGACCTTAGATTGTAAGCGCCTTGAGGGTGGGGACTATCTAAAGTGCTGCGTAAATTGTTGGTGCTATATAAATACCTGTAATAATAAAAAACGCAGCAATTGAAAATCAAATCAATGGGAAAAATTGCAAAAATGGTGTGGCCAGCTGAGGTGCAAAATGTTCTGGAGGGCTTGGCAGCGAAAGGGTTAAAAGTTGCATTTTTCAGTTGAATTTGGGGAAACCACTTGAAACATTTTTTGTGTTTTTTGTGACCTATTTCAATTGCTTTTGTTGGATTTGTTCATTGCAAAACAACTGAAAGTCTGTAAATTTTGCCAATAAACCTGATTGGCAATGGGGGTTGAATCATTTTGATTACAACTTTTTTTTTAATGTTAGGCATTCTCTGCATACATGGAGTCCTGCAGTAACTGTCAGGGGTGTGCACATAATTATTATCAGTTAAAAGACAAACTGGTAACAGAGTAGGGGAAGGGGTAGAATATGGAATGCATGGCTTACATTCCAACAAGAAACAAAACAACAAATTGGTGCAAAATGTGGTTACTACCAAGGACAAACTCCCAGACAGAAGAGTTCAAAGTAGGGAAATCTATCTGAAACACAAGTTGAAGGACAAAAGCAAAATCTGAATCTAATGTTTGGGTGAGGTCAGAGCTTGGGAGAGATTTGCCCACTCCGCAGACATTTGCAGGGCAAAGCGACAGGTTCACTTTAACGGCCCTCTTCCCAGCTGCTTTAAACCTGAACTTTAGGCAGATATAATAGACACAATGTAGGAAGAGGAATCACCAGTCCATAAACCACAAGCCATTTGGCTCTTGTGATTATGTGACGTCTATGTCCAATAAATGGACATGTTGGATTATTCTGAGTGCTGGTGATTCCTCTTCCTACATTGTGTATGCACGGTGCCATCCGTGTTCATCACTACAAGCACCATTGTCTACATAGGCCTTGATTGCTGCAAGGTGTGCGGAGGATTTCCCCTTCTATCCAGATATAATAGACACAAATTAATTCAGCTTTGGCTGGGAGAGGAACCTTCACATGAGACCCTTCAAATCTGTCCCTGCTCAGACCCTCCGCCCGAGACATCAGGCCAGCATCCCGGAGCAGAGAGCACAGAGTATGTAGCAAATTCATATATTACTCTGCATTGCTGTATAATGTATTGCTGGGATTTGTAGTTCTCTATAGCTGATGTTATTCTGCATTGCTGTATAATATATTGCTGGTATTTGTAGTCCTCTATAGTCGATGACATTGTGCATTGCTGTATAATGTATTACTGGGATTTGTAGTTCTCTATAGCTGGTGGCATTTTGCATTGCTGTATAATGTATTGCTGGGATTTGTAGTCCTCTATAGTCGGTGCCATTGTGCATTGCTGTATAATGTATTACTGGGATTTGTAGTCCCTCTACAACTACCAGGGTCACAGCAGTCACAGCTGCGAGAGGCACCTGGCGCTCCACCACTGTCCTAAAATCATAAGTCAGTATTGTTTTAGAAAAACTGTCACATGGCAGTAAAAAAAAATATATCGGTAATTGGTATTGGCGACTACTTGAGGGAAAGTATGGGTACTTGTACTCAGTCCGGGAAAAAATGGTATCAGTGCATCCCTAGTTTCAGTGCTTATGTGCTAGCAAGGAAGATGCTGAGAGCAGGATAGAGCAGTGTGACAGACTGATAAGCTGATCAGTCAGCTGCCTGATACTCAACTGCGGCAGAGAAAAAAAATCAGGTCCGTGCTGTGCAGCAGAGTTGTGTAAATCTCAGAAATGAATGGTCAGTAATGTAAAAAACCTTTGAAAGCTAAACAGTTCCCTTATATGTATTTCTGATGTGCAATATTAGCAGTTTGCCTAGAGTTTAGCTTTAAGAGATATTTCAGGCAGTTGCATACAACATGTGTATGAACAAAAATGATTAATAAACATAGTAGACCACAGATTGAACAATAGCTTGCAATGCCAGGCTACAGCAAACAAAGCGAGCAGAGTACTGTCTTGTATTGAAAAGGGAATGTACTGTAGAGACAAAGCAATCATTTTGCCACTTTATAGATCACTGGTTCGGTCTCATCTGCAGTATGCGGTCCAGTTTTGGTCACCAATCCACAAAAAAGATGTGCTTGGGCTGGGGAGAGTCCAGAGAAGGGCAACTAAACCAATTAAGGGGTTGGAGGACCAAAGCTATTAGACAAGGTTACAAAATCTAAACTTGTTCACACTTGAAGTGAGGAGATTAAGAGGGGACATGATTATGATGTACAAAATGTTTAGTGGTGATGGCAACATCAGCAATAAACATTTTTACAGTAAACTCTATAACAAAGACTAGAGGCCACCACCTAAAACTGGTGGAGAAAAGATTTAAGCACAGGGGGCGTAGGGGCTTTTTTTCAGTCAGAGGTCTGGAACTCACTGCCACAAGAAGTGGTATCAGCAGAGAGTATTGAATAATTCAAGCAGCATTTAAATAACTTCCTCAGAGACCGTAACATACAGGGGTACAGGTACACTTAAAAACAAGGTCACACAGGGACTTGTGTACACGCACAAAGGTTGAACTTGATGGACCTGTGTCTTTATTCAACCTCACATACTATGTAACACTGGCAGCCTATGTCAGATCTACAATTTGTTTAGCTCCAAATTTCTTTCCTTCCTATGCAAAGCAATGAACAGCCAAGTATCTTCTGACAGATGCCACTGCTTATTTCATTAAGGAGCGGTGTAATACGGGGGACATGGAAGTTGCCTTCCCAGATGGCGTTCTGAAACTCCGGGACCTGGGCTCGTTTGCCAGCTTGAATTCCCAGCCAGTGCTGAGCTCTGCAGCAATCTCGTATCAGATGGGCTGCCAATTCTACCGGGGCCTGTAGCAGCTCTGCGCCATTATCGCGTTCATCAGTCAGTGGTTTTAGGAGTGGAAGGGATTTGATGTTATGTACTGTACGGCCGACCGTGGTGAAGGGCAAGGCCATAAAGCAATATGCCATGAAAGCAATGACACAGCATTAAGAAGGAACCGCGTGGTGTACAAATCAGGGGTTAATGGTCCATAGGGTTATAACTAATTCAGTGTACATGCTGCCACTGCTGCTTGCCAAGAGCAAGAAAACTTCTCCATAATCAAGTTTAATGATTATTTGCCTTGCCTCGATCCACCTAGAACAGAACTAACGTAAAGACTTCATCTGTCCAAATTCAATTTCTTTGTGTGCACTACATAAGAGAGAAAAACTAGATTCTGAATCTATAGAACTGTTTTTCTAAAGTGCTATTGGCATTTGTACTGGCCAAACAATATAACCTTAATGCAATCTGGGGTTACCAGATCTGCCCAAGCGCTGCAGTCATTACAAGAGGGTCTCCATTCCTTTATTAGATTTTATTCTATGGAGAATGTTGCTGGAAAACTAAAGCTGGGTATACACGGTTCTATTTTTTCATTCAACGAAACAGATATCTCCATTAACGCTTATGAGCGTTGATTGAGGAATCCCTTGCTGTTTCTATATCATTGTGCCGCTGTCAGAAAACCCTGCAGCTGACTAGCGGCTGCTAGCTCCATTCGGCAACCGTTCCAAAAGGCTTCTTTGATCAGCTGATTGATGGATGTCGGGCAGAAGTGTACCGACAGCGGCACCCACACAGCGAATTTAAGACTAGCCGAAATTCACTGCATGTATAGCCTACTTAAGGGTGTGTGTTGATGGGCATTTGTTCAAGTTAGATGTTTTTGCATATCCATGAAAGTGGGAATTGTTTGTGGAGTTCAGCTTCAAACATAACAAATGCAGTCATTTTGTAAGCTGAACAAAGAAAATGACACCTAAAACCCAGTAGAACATCTCCATCATAAAAAAACCCAGCTGGGAGTGTCACCTACACATGGGTTTAACAGCCTTTACTGTAGGGGATCTAAATACAACAGGCTCTTCCTAAACATTAGCCATGTTTCTGATTGAATATTGATGAAGGTAGATGATTATCTGTGAAAAACAACAATAAATACAATCTGCTCTATGTGAAAATATCCAAGTAATAATTATCAGATCTGTTAGCCAGAAAGTCAATATATTCAGATTTATTTCTGTGGGCTGAAAAGAGAGATAAGCATGGAGAACATTTTTTTTTCCGATAAGAAAATGGATGATAGTCTAAAATAAATACTACATAACCAGTTAAAACTAGAAGCATTTGTTATGTTTTTTCTTCTCTGCTTGCAGCAATCAGATATTACCTTTCAGTGATTAACCCATGCTAGCAAAAGAACATCTGAATTTGAATGGCAGTTATCAGCTACAAAGACTTTTATGGTCAGCTGTGCATGGGTCTCCGACACATACAGTAACATGGCTTACTCACCTGCCGGACAAGTCCCAGCTGTAGTGACCAGAAGAAAATGATCTGTGTGTCCTCTGGATCTAGCTCATGCGCTCTGTAAAAACAGCATCAATCAGTTACCACAGATAACTCTCATTATTGCTTAAAAAAACAAAAATAAAAAACAGCATGCATTATATCGCCAAGGTTTTTGGGCACTTGACCATCACACCTATATGAGCTTATTGGACATCCCTTTTCAAAACCATAGGCATTAATATATAGGTTGCTCCCCTTTTATGGCGGTAACAGAATCTGGTGTTCCAGGGAAAATGTTGGAGTGTGTCTTTGGGATGCAATTGCCAAAGGTGTGCAATAGGGTTGAGGACAGAGCTGCATGTAGGCCATTTGAGTTCCTTCACACAAAACCCATGTCCTACTTGTCCTTGCTTTGTGTACAGGGACACCGTCAGGCTCGAACAAAAAAGGATCTTTCACAAACTGCTGCCACAGGGCCACAAGGGATCTTGTCCTAAATGTGTAGGTATGCTAAAGAATTAACAATACCTTTTATTGCAAAACCTCTCAACTGAATAATTTGGAGGGGTGTCCACATATGTCTGACTATATAGTGTAGCACATACCATTGACCAGCACAGTAGAAAAAATGTTCATCCCTTGGCTCTTCAACCAACACATGACTAGAACATTTTGAGGGGAATTTATCAAAACTGGAGCATACAAAATCTGGAGTAGTTCCCTCAATTGAGCCTGGGGATTTACAAATTACAATGTACAAGTGTCCCATTGCACTCCAGACCGGAATCCCTTAGTAATTTACTGGAAGGGTGCTGGACGAGAAGTGGATGGCGCCGCACAGATCCATGTATACAGAAGTAATCACCCCACACACCAAGGTCCCATGCATCAATTTGTCCTTTTATTCAAGTCAGATACACATGACATCACAAGCATAAACCAACGTTTTGGTACCTAACAAGGTCCCTTCATCATACAAAAAGCAAAGTGACTTATGGCTTTTTGCCTGATGACGGGACCATGTTAGGTTCCGATATGTTGCTTTATGCTTGTGATGCCATGTGTATCTGACGTCAATAAAAGTTCGAAAGGTCAGGACCCTGGTGTGTGGGGATTTACAAACACCCTTTAAATAAAACCCCTAAAACGTGCACTAGAAGTGCTGTCTAGAAGCAGTTTTCACACATTGGCAGTTATTATCTTTCTCATCCTGCATGACCCATGTGAGAGTACGTTTTCCTTGCTATGAATGTTAGATTTTACATGATTGGGGGACCCATTGGTTAGCAAAGCTTTCTTATTTAACAGTGGGCTGGCAGGCCTTTGTTTTATTGGGTGGGGCTTAGGTTCATGTCAAACAAAGTCAAATCTCTATAACAAAGTGAAAATTCCCCTACATAGGGCATACAGGAGACTTTTGTGGATACGAGAGGTAATAGCAAGCATCTTTTGGCATCCTCTGTTAGGCAGCACTTTAACTTTTTTTTTTACCCTTTTTTAAATTTCAGAATTAAAGGCATCCCTGCTTTTATATGTACACCTCCTTTGAGGCTCCCAAAGGTATGAGAATCCAAAAATAAGGTCTTAAGTGTCAGCGTATAAATAGCTCTTTTTGTGTCATGTACAAATGTACTTTGTGCTTGTAAAAGAGCTGTTTAAGGGCTCAAATCATAGCAATGTCTCTATGGAGGTTTTAATTTTGATGCTGCCATTATTGTACGTAGAATAAAAAAGCTATTTATACACTTATACTTAGGACCTTTTTGGGGTCACCTTAAGAAAACCTTGCTTACTTACCCTTCCTGCCGCCCACGTCATTGATTTCCACTGCCTCTACAAGTCACACTGACTGAAACATCTGTGCTGTGACTGACAGAGTCTGTGTTGAGGTTTCTTCCTATGGCTCCTATGTCACTATTGTGTCCAGGAATTATGTGGGGGTCGGAGGAAAGAACACAGCACAGAGGTTACCAGGCATTTGACAATCTTTAAAGTGTTGGATGCTGAAGATTTTTCAGCCAGGGTAGTTGTGAAGACAGTGAAGGCCGCTAGTAAAGGTGTCAGAAAGTGTAAATATTAACCTTTTACCTTGCACGGATGCCTTTGCAAGATTAAAAAAAAGGAACTGAGTCACTTTAAGTCACTGATCTGATCTCATTAGTAAGTTTATGTATTCGTGGCTACAATTGACTCTTCAAATAGTATAGCTATTAGGACATTAATTCCTCGCTTACTTTCAACTCCACAATAGGAGTGTGATTAAAGTACACATACATACACATAATAATAATCTTACTTCTGTAATGCCTGGAGAGCCTTCTTGCTCCAATCATCCTGAGTGCTTTTCTGAATGGCTGCAACAAAGAGAAGTGTTTCTGTTGAGATAAGCTAAACATAATAAATTCTCAATGGCTAAGCAAAGAATTTAAAGTTATGGAAAGGTTAATTCACACACTAAGTATTTATCTTCCAGGAGTTCAGTGTTTAATTTAAGGTCCACAGTTTATATATAATACATTTCAACTTTATATCCTTGTCAGGATGTACTAAAATATAATGTTAATTGGAGCAATTTTTTAAAGTACAGGACAAGCTAACATCAAGATAAAAGCAGACACTGCTGCCACCTGCTATCACCTCTCCATTGGTAAGTACATTTTGTGCATAGCAGTGTGGGATGTGGGGTGACATGTCTAAATGCCAGCTTATTGCTTTGCATGATCTTGCTTTTGTAAATCCAAAGAAGATAAGAAAAACATTAAAAAAGCACTGTTGCAGTCGGTGATCTCCAAAGACTGTATGGAGGCATAGCAGTAAAGAAATCATCATGTATGATTCTTCACAGTGAAGACATTGAATAAAACAGGAATGTGGAGCAGACACCTTGTTTGTTCTCAGTCCCTGTCTACAGTTACATTATAGACCACCGTCAAGCTGAATGTAAGCAGAGCAACTTTTAAAGGTGGCCTGGACCGATGATAGCGGTTCTAAAGCCACGGAAAGAGCAAAGAAAGCAGTGCCAGATTCCATGTGCAAAAGTGCTTGGTATCTCTGGATAAATTTAAAAGTAAAGTTATCCTTTCAAGTCTCAGTAACAGAATGATATGATGTGTTTATATTAATATTCTCACAAATGCAAGTGAAGGCAAATCTGACATGTCAAAATGCGAAAGGTGAAACTTTACAGTTGCAAAATGCAGGCACTGAAAAATAAGTTTCGTTATATTTTGTGTCTGTTCAGACAGAGCTGTACTAGAAAGGTCCAAAGTTAATTTAAAAAAAAAATTCTGTTCATTCAATTTTTACACAAGAATAAAGTACACACGAAACAGTTATAAAACATATGCAAAACGGGACTAGAACAACCTAAAGGAACACTGCAAAACCTAAACGCCTAATCCCCCAATTACCAGTTCAAAGTGGAAGTAAGACGAAATATAAAATTCAAGAAAAATTATAAAAAATTCCAAGGAAACCTAAAAAATTCCAAAAAAACCCTCAAAAGTGCACAGGTGTAGTTAACAAAATAGTACATCCTAGTAGCACAACTCAAAGCAGAATATACAGGTAAATGCACGGCATCTTAGAGTCCCCATTGTATCAGACGTTTCAATCCACACAGCCCAGACTTTGTCAAACTTCAAAGGGTAACCTCTATTGGTACATGTATCCTTTTAAAGTGCACCAAGGAGTTGACTAGCTGTTTCCACGTATCCACAGTAGGTGCAGACCTCTTTTTCCAGTGTAGGAGAATATCTTTTCAAGCATAAAAAATGAGAATCCCCAATAACATACAAACTGCCACCTCAGGGAGTTAAATGTTCTGCAAGTTCCCAAAAGTTAATTTATTAGTGTCATTTACTCCCTGTTCCCAGTACAATATGTTGTTTAGGCATATCTCATTTGACAACAAAAATGAAGATTGCTGTATGTGGCTTTCCTTCAAATGAGTGTTTAAAAAATTCTAATGTTGTCCTTAGAAACCACTTTAGAGTGTGCTTATGCTATCCAAGATAAACCAACACATGAAAGCTCTTGAACCTAAGCAAAAAAGATCATCCAGGGTTTAAAATTTCTTCTTAACTTCCTAAACAACATGAAACCCACCACCCTGTGAAAGAATCAGCCCTGTGCTCATGCCTGAAAACATAACACTTTGGGTAGACTTTGCCAAAGCATTTCTTAAAGGCTTTGAAGATGGACAGCAAAATGTAAGTCAACCATCAATGAAGACAATGCTTAGGTCTTTTCCAGAAGGACTTTGCTCTTCATTAATAAACTTTATCTTGATGAAAAAAGAAGATGAAGGGTACCACTAAGTCATAAGCTCCTTCAAAATAAAGAACCGAATTGTGTTAAAAAAAGGATATCTGCATTATATTTGATGGTAATTATAGTGGGAAGTCATACATAAACCTACATTTCTTTAAAGGTTAAAAAAAAAACGTTGTTAGCTTTCCTTTTTAGCCTTCTCTGTGAGGATCCCAAACCAGTGTTAGGATACTTGCAGACATGCAAGGATGGCATGGGTTACTCAAAGCCAACTTCCAAATGGGCCAATTTTCCTATAAAAAGGAAGCTGGTCAAGCGATATGTCAACCAATACATTTTGATGTTTAGACAAGTTTAGCCATGTTTCCACAGGTGAACAGAATGTCTAAGGTCATAAAGTGCTCACATATGGAGGCAAACTTAAAATTCAGAATAGAGGAATACTTAGGAAGAGAACCAAAAGTACACCAAACAACTCAGAGTTGAAAAAGCAGAGGGAGACCAGACAGAAGGATGAGCGAGTAAGGACTGTCCCACATTAGTGTTCAACACCCAACCAAGTCCAGATAGGACTGCTAACCAAACAGGTGGGTGACAGAACCATAGGTGAGTGCCTGGGACCATCATAGTTGTGTATATGAGTTGTTCTCTTTAAATCTGAAAGTCATAAAATATAATTATTGTAATTTTATATTATTATAAGCCTATGAACTCTCTATAGCTTGGGAGTAGAAAAAGTGCTTTGTGTCTCCAGTAGTACATGGTTAATTGTCTCCTCTGCTTTCAGGGTCCCAGGAGTTTAATTACAGCCCAAGTTTACCACACTTGAGCTACCACAAACTGTTGATGCTTTACAACAAACAGATTCACAGAGTTTTACTGTAACAAAAAGTTAGCTTGGACCATGACATATGCATTTATAAATATATTTTAACAAACTTTTTACATACATAAACAATGCCAAGATTTTTATCTTGTAAGTGAAGTGGTTCTTTTATCAGAGATGTGACTACATTTTTCAACCTTCCTTAAATACGATAGTTGAAAATTGGATTGGTTCCTGAGAACACAGACATTTTATTGATACTGATTCATCCATGTTTGAATTTTAAAAGACAATTCCACACAAAAAAATGGTTTCTAGTATCTCTGTGACTCCAGTGTTGAGATATCACTAACCCAACAAAATTCCACACTTTGCCTATCTGCTATGGCCCTCATAAAGCCAAATGATGGTATTATGCTAAACAAATAACTGGAGAACCTAGTTGCAATTACCTTTTCATAGATTTGTGGCAGAGGACAGAGAGAGAAAGCACTCTGTGGAAACCTGACCACTGGATTCTCAAGAAAAATATAAGAAACTGATGCATATCCAACCCACTGACAATGACTTAAAACTGATATGTAAGGTAGAACGGACCTGAATTCAAACAGGGATCATCTTTTAGGGAACATCTAGAAATGTTTATTGTGCTTAAGCAGTACCCTGAAAAAAGGGATTTTAGACTTACCTCTAAAATCCTTTTCTTGGCCTACAGCCTACAGTAGTCATAGATGAGGGGTTCTATGCAGCTACTTTCAGGTGATTGGACACTGGCAAACAGATTTATAGGACAGCTCCATATAACCCCTCCCCTACTGTACTTCAAGAAAGGATTTTATAAGTAACTAAAAAGAAATCCCATTTTCTAAATTGTACAGTACAGAGTGCAGGACTCAGGCTTAGTTAAAGATAACTGGGATGTCCAAAACAGCATAGCAAACAAACACCCACAAAGAAACAAGGAGTTAAGGACCCTTAACATGAACAGCAGCCTGTAGTACCTCGCATCTGAAGCTGGCATCAGAGGAGGCCTGTACATCCACCTGGTAGAACTCAACAAATGTGTAATAAGACCAGGTGATGGTCTGCAACTCTGTAAAACAGATGCCTAATGCTAAAAAGCCCAAAAGGCACCAACGAACCTGGCAGTGTGTCCTAACCGGGAATGGTGGAACCCTATCCCGCAAAGAATAGGTTTGAACAATTACCTTTATAATCCACCTGGAAATGGTGGAAAAAGAAGCAGTGAACCCTCTGCCAGAACCTTCAGGCAGAAGAGGTAATCTGAATGTTGAAAAAAACCTGTGGCAGAGAAGTACACTTGCCCAACTGTGTACTTATGACCAATGCAGCAGGTAGGAAGGTGTTAACAGACTCTGTGGTGCCAGTAGACAATAGGTTGTGGGTACGAATGCGTGCAAACAGAGCCTGTACCTTGTAAGCCAGAGAGCAGGAGTAGCAGAGGAGGATGCATCCATGCTGGGACCGATGGCCCTTAGCCAGCTCAGGATGTGCGGTGCACAAGTACCCTGGACAGTCTAAAGATACATGAATGACACCAAGCTACCCTAATGTCACCCAACAATGCGCCAAAGTCAGTAGAGTGACTCATCATCCTCATATATGGCAGTGACAGTTTTTTAAAAGTGTCGCGTGCTGTACCCCTGGCAGTGAAACTTGAGTATGCAGTTCATGTTCCCACCAGGACATGGAGAGCAGGCACAGAGGTACCTAGGTTTTTAAACGGCCAGGCCCTTGACTTACCACACTCATGAAAGTGGCCACATGGGCCAGAAACAGGGAGATAAACCCTTGAATCTTCACCCACTTCAGACGGGTATACCCCTGAGGGGTCTGCAAGGACAGGGTCTCACCATGTTGGATATTGCCACAGCCCTGGACCTATGTAGCACCTTGTGGCTAACTCAATGTACTGCATCCAGTGCCTGAAGCAACATTACTGGCTGCCCACTTGTTTACCTTCTGGCAGCGTCTGGGTTCAGTACCTGAGGCTATGCCAAGGGGCACCAATCTGGAAGTTGCAAAGGCAGCCCCAGTGGCTATAGAACAGTTAAGGGAAACGTTATAGAAGAATCTGTAGATATTGGTACAGAAACCAAATCCCCGCTCAATAGAGAAAATATATCAATAGCCTAGGACACAAACAACTAAGGATTGCTAGAACTGGGAGGAGAAATATGGGGCTGTCCTAACAACTCTATTTGGCAAAGTCCAGTCACCTACAGGTAGCTGCATATAACCCACCCCTCTAAGTCGACTAAGCCTGTGTCCTGTACTGTACAATTAAGAAATATACCATTTGTCTGGAATTCCTTCCAAAAAATAGAAGTGCACTTCCTGTGCCGAGGAACTCACTTGCTTGCACGCACCTCATAGTTGAATATCTGCATTGTGGGATGATATAAGGCACTGTGCCATAGATTGCTAGTCTCACAAGATCTGAAGTGGGATTTTGAATGTTCTTCTAAGTGGAGGGGAAGCTGTTCCTAAAGGACTGCAATGCAAAAGTCTCCCTGCTGCAACTTAATTAATTCTGTGGATTTGTGCTTCCATCACAACTACTGCTACTTCTTGAATATTACCCCACCAGTAATCAGATTACTAGTGTTTAGGGGGGTCGATCTGATATAAGGGATCAAAATCATGCTTCTCTGCCAAGATGCCCACCTCCACACAGAGACATAGTGATGAACAAGGCATGGTAAATAATTAATTGGGAAAAAAGAGAAGAGAACCTGCAGGCAATACTGGTAACTAATCCTTTGCCCCCTGCTTGCCTTTTTTTGGGCACAGCTTCCACAGTGCAGGTCCTCTTTAAGGGTAAAGCTGCATTTTATATTTTTACAGAGACAGAAAGGAAAACAACTGAAGAGAGAGGATATTACCATCAGTAGCTTGCAAGCTGTACACCAGTCCCAGTGCCAGGAATCCTTTTGCGAGCGACTCTCCTGCTTCATCTCCCATGTCTGTCACTTGTTTTGCGAACCGCTCCCCTTCTTCTAACTACAATAAAAGGAAGGAACCAAAAATAAACATGTCAACTGGAGGAGCCCTAAGGCATCTGTTGTCTATATAGCATTATTTTGTACCCGCAGCCTACATGCCAGTATGTGATAACGTTTTTTTTCCCTGACAATTCTCTGCAGTCAGTTATTTCGCCAACCCTTGTGTCAATGCTGCCCTGTTCCATCTCTGCTTCTCTCCTGAATTCTGTGTAAATGGAACTGGCTAATATTAAAGGATTTATTAGGTTTACGAGTGGGGGTACATGGGAGATACCTATCACCACTTTGTTCTTCTGATCTCTTGGTAAGATCACGCAGGGGAACAATATCTTCCACTCAGCCAACAGCCTTTTCCTCCAACAAAGGTCCCCAAAAGTCATCTGCAGTGACCTGGTATGCCCCACAGGGAGCAAAATAGCACCCAAAGTTGCCAAGATTTATGATATTGGATATGCAATGTATTTAGTTATCTTAACGTAAACCTGTCAGCCAGATTTTTTAAAATGAAAATTTTGTCTAAGAGCAGACTCTACAAAGTGCTTGCTATTACCATAGTTGAGAAGCAAATAATTCTCTGTGGGGTCTATTTATCAATTTGTTCACCCAAGATTCACAAAGCTTTCAATCAAGATTCACTTATTTTTCTAATAGACTGTTAAAAATGTGTATCCAGGGTAAAAGCATGATAAATAATCCCCTGTGTTTCTTTTCAAAACCAATGTCACTTTGTTACCAGAGTTTTAAGCTGTTTGGATGGTTTGGCCCAAACCATACCAACTGCATTGCAATGCTAAATGGGATTCGTTCCAATGTTAAAGAATTTGAGCCCATGGTAACCAAATTAATCTAGTTTCAGATTTCTAGCTAGTGCAGAAAATAGCAGGAACCTTGTGCCAATGGTGCCAATTCTTAGACAGAGTCATGTTCACACTTCATGAGTACTTGGAATGAGGGACGTGATGCAAAATTTAACCTTATTTATTACAGATATTTATATAGCGCTGACAATTTACACAGCGCTTTTACATACTCATGGAGCTTACAATCTAAGGTCCCTATATCCCATGCATACATACAGGGCCGATTTACCTTCCAGCATGTCTTTGGCATGTGGGTGGAAACCAGAGTACCCGGAGGAAACCAACGCAAGCACAGGGAGAACATGCAAACTCCTTTGCAGATAGTGACCTGGCCAGGATTCGAACCAGGGACCCCCAGTGCTGCAAGGCAGAAGCGCTAACCACTACGCCCCTGTACTTTAACCTTACTTTAACCTTACTTTAACCTTCCTTTTTTCCATAAAAAAGGAGAATTTGTGAAGCACAGGATCACCGACATCAAAATCAATGGAAAACTAATTTAAACAATAATCATATTATAATCTTAAACATCTGGGGATAATACATACAAAATGTTCACCCACCCCTGGACTGAATTCGTATGAGAGATGTTTTTTGATTGAGGCAAGACCAGTGGGGCAGCAGCATTGCACCTGGAGAACAAGGCCCTGTATTGCAACTAAATGCACAACTAAATACTGCTGACTTGGGCAAGTCAAACTTCCCTACCACCTTCAATCTTCTCTCCGCCCCAGCCTGCTGACTGGACAGGTAAAGAAGAGCAGCAAACTGATAAGGTCTTCCCTCTGCTCACACTTCTCTCTTCTATCATCATTCTACTTGTTAGCATATTTGCATGCAGTATATCTGATTGACTCCCAGTCCTGCCCCCAGGGGATTGCAAAAGGCTGATAGCAAGTCAAATCCAGGAATTTGCATAAATTTCATTAAAAATTAACAATGTATATCATATAATTTCTGTATCATATCTGTAGTTCTACAAAAAAAAAAAGCATTGGCTGGAGTTCCACTTTACAAGCACCGAGTTTTTGCTCTGCAGACATTAGCATGTATGCCTTCTTAATATAACCACATAGACTTTATATTTGCATTTAGGTTCCACTGTGCAGAGACCACAAATGCATAATAGCTGAACAACAGTCAGTTTTAAATCTGTTTTATCAAGAGACTACTTCATGCTGTTATTAATTTCTGCAAAATCCAGCGCTCGGGTGATAGAGTCAGCGTATTCCAGTGTCCTCGTTTCACCTGCTTCCCACACGTGTAGCTCTTTCAGGAGCCTCAGTGTGAAATCTGCAACAATAGTGCACCTAGGAACATCCTGTATGCCAGATGCACATTAATGTGGCCGCGATGGAAATCACTAGAACTGGAGCATGAAATCCAGGCATTAATTCACCTTTAACAAGCAAGCATCATTAGAAGTCTAACTTGCAGTCTTCCCGCAGTGAGAGAACGGAAACTTTGATTATTATTGGCTGCACCTATCGACAGGTTCTAAAGACTCATGGAATTTTAAGCCCTCATTAAAAACAACACGTTGTAAAATGTGAGATCCATATTTGAGAGCTGTGAAAATTTATATGTGAGACAGCTAACGATGTAGAGTTGGAGAGCTAAAAAAAAAATGGGCATTAGGGTTCATTTACACATCTGCCGTAACACACAGTATCCCATGTTGGGGCAATGCAATTCCTTCTAAATGGTACCCCAACACGCCTTCTCAATGCACTCGTGCACATTGAATTGCGTTGTGCAGTCGACAATCCTATATGCACCTTTTTGGTGCGTTATGCATCCCATTCAAATAAATAGGTTGCCTTGTCACCATGCAGCACAACGTGCATCAAAAGGATTTCACAAAGACAGCTAAACCATTTGAATGAAGCTTGAAAGAGACACTATCACCTTGACCATGCAAGGCAAAGTGACAGTGTCTTTGGAGAGAAAATCACCTGGCCCAAACATACTCACCTTACCTGCGCACTCTTGCAGCTCCCTGATTCTCTGCATCCAGCGTTAAAAATCGTGTTGACAACCTGGGGAAGCAGTGAATCCACTCCCCTGGTCATGTCACAGTGCTCAGGCCTAGTGATTAGCTGCCAGGCTCAGGCATCATCACAGGGGATCAGGTCAAATGCTCCTCCATACCTGGAAGTGCTGGGTATCTTTGCAGGCTGTGGAAGAACACAGAACTGTGGTGGGTAAAGGAAAATTGAGTATGTGGGGGCATATTGGTAAGGTGACAGTGTCTCTTTAAAGAAGAAGTATCACCTTGTATTTCAGTCACCTAAGGCTCCATTCACACCTAAGTGTTAGCGTTTTTGCACACATTAGCGTATGTTTTGTTTAGTGTCTCGTCTAGTGTGCATTGCACATTTTTGCGTGCATTAGACACGAGCACATGGAAAAGCAAGTTTTAGGGAGCAGATTCAAATACATTGCGTGAATGGACAAAGCACGCGCAAAACACTTTGTTGCACGTTTTCAGGTGTTTACATTGAAGTCTATGTGTCCAAACAGGCTGTAATCTGCCCCCAAAAAGCTCATGAACTTTTTCCAGAGTTTGGCATTTTACAGCTTGAGACAAAACTCTCAGATGTGAACACAGGCCATTGAAATTAATGGGATTTCTTGTGTTGAGAGTTTTGTCGCACTCTGCTTTGAGCGTAAAAACGCCTAGGTGTGAACAGGGGCTTATGCACCTGCATCACCTAGGTTTCCCAAGCATACAAGTGGCCGTTTCAATATATTGTTATGCACAGGCTCACTAAGCAATAGCTAGACCAGTAGGCAGGAGAGGGTGAGGCCAGCCAGGAACTTTCATATTAGGAGTTAGAGGTCCGATAGAAGATTGCTAACGCATATTTGCTTTACTGTGCAGAATAAAGCTGCATTGTGTTTGCAAAAACAATGTAAATATAGTTTACAAATGCCATATTATAAATGCCGTGCTGTGTAAACAGTGGAACAGACCTAAGATTGTTAGTCTTTTATGACCTCTATCTCCTTCAAATAATTCTCTCTGCAAATGAATTTCTATCCAAGAGCCGTTCAGGAATGACAAATACTGCTGCATATATGGCACAAAAGTCACAAACAACGCATTTAAGATCATTGTTGGGCAAAGGCCAATGTGATGTCAGCGTGTCCTCTAAAAGTCTACATTTGGCAGGTATAAAGCTGATGCATTCCTCGGACTTTACTCTGTAGCAATAAACACCTCTGATATTGCACAGACTTCTGCTCTGATAGTTAACACAAAATGGCTGACCCAAAGCTATGGAATGCCAATGGGGAACGATCCAAAACAGTAGTTAGTAGAATGCTTAAACCGTCAGGATGTCCAAAAGCTGTCCATCTGTGATACATCCACATCAAATCCATGACTCATGCACACAAAATGAAAGGGCGCTCCCTTCTCCGTTCTAGCAACTAAATACACAGCTGAAACGCATAAATGGAAATTGTTTAGAAGAGATATAAGGGAAAAGAGAAAGCACACTGGTCTAGACTCTAGTGTAGTAATATTAAACACCTTTATTAAAAATAAGTTATTGCACTCACATATATAATAGCATGTGAACTGTTAACATTCAGAAAATGCAGTCCAAAATGCAGTGCATTTCGAGCTTCAGATGGTACCTCGCTCTTCTCCATACGTGTCCTGGGTGTGGGATGCGTTATGGTGAATTTCTCTCCATCATCAGCCTGAAGCATGCAACATTTCCATCTCCGAATGCTGATGTTTTACCCAACTGTATTGCTTGTCAATGGTCATGAAAGTGCATTGAGGAATTTAGATCAGCATATACACAAAAAGCTCTTCATGCTTTTATATATATGAGTGCAAGATATCCCTTTTATCAAATGTGTTGCTAATGCTCTGTACATAGTAGTGCACCACATTTAAAAAAAACACAGCAAGACCCATTTTTTTATTTGATTGAATGTGCTGCCTAAGGCAACGCACCTCAACACATGACACAAGCTCCTCCTTGCCCAGGTTGGCACATACCAGGAGAACAGTTGTATCGCTACTGTGTGTCCGCCAACTTATGTCATATGATAAGGAAATATGCACTTATCCTTTTAAGGCCCCATTCACACGGGCTGTTCTGTAGGGATGCACTGAAATTAAATTTTTAGACTGAAAATAAAATTAACAAATGTGTCAGGTCGAAACCAAAACACACTTTTTTCCCCCAACCTTTTAAATCTTTTTAAAATTATTTTTGTATTATTTTATTTTTTATTCTATTTACTGTGGGTGCTTTGGAGAAATATCAGGGGTCTAAACAGACCCCTGATATTTTCCTTTTAAAATAGAGAAAGAGATTGAGGACACAGGGTCCTAAATCTCTTTTTCTGCAGCCCCTGTTATGTATAACCAGAAAGCCTCTATACTGAGGTCTCTCGATTTATAAACTGCGAGATAGTATCAGTTACTATGTCCACAATCATGAATGAACAGAAAGTGATGTAGAGCACTTCCTGTTCAATCATACCTTGGGACACAGTAAGCTTACAATGTCCTCAATTATTTACAAACACTCAGCGGTCCATAACGATCGTTGAGTGTTTGTACTCCGTTGTCTATCCTGACTGCTCTGTCTGTCACAGTAGGCCAAGCAGGGCAGTGTGGGAAGAGAGCTCGGCCTCCTGTGACAGCTGTCTCCTCCCTGCTTGGCCTCCTGACAGCTTCTCTCCTCCTCACTGGGTGCTGGCAGCTGAATCGGCTATGTGTCCCCTCCGATCTCTTTTGCCGACACAGGTGGGGGAGAATAGCGAGATTGGAGAGGACACAGACCAGCGCCCAGCGGGGAGGAGAAGCTAGGGATGCACTGCACTTTCGGACATTTTGGTACTATCAGCATTTTGCCCATTGTATCATTTTCGGCTGAAAATTCAGTGCATTCCTAGTGATCTTGGATCCCTACGGCAAGAACATATGGGTTCATGTGGCAGGAATATCAAGTGTACAGATGCAGCCGCTGTACCCATCGTAAGTAAATTAGAGGGTTGCAGCGGCCACTTCTGTCAGCAGCAGTCAGCCGATTACAAGTGGTTTGGGATAGATGATTGTTGCTGGACGCATCTATCCTGCCCACCCTCTCACTCTCTACTAAGTGCCAGTTAGTAAAAAGAAATCACCCCACTATCATGGTTTAACGTAATAAAGTTTGTGGTGGGAAAGGCAGGTCCTCTTAAAGCCACACATTTAGTCATCTGTTGGTCTTATTGCCTCCTCATTATATTAATCTGTGGCAGTGGGGTACTTTTCCAGCCTAACAGTGTAAAGGGTCTCTCTGAGATTACTGGCATCCAGGCTGCCACCCGCTCTGACCCACTGTACATCCACCATTGGTAAACAACTTCTTGGTAATTGTGTAAATGGGCAAACACAGCTTGCCTTTGAGATTAGTTTGAGAAGCTTACAAGTATCACCTGAGACCTTTCTGGCATCTTTCTGACCTGCAGTTGACCTTCTTCTCAGGTGCATCAAGCTGCTTTTGCATTCCTATTGATTCGTATTGGGGAAAAAGCAGTTCTGATGCAAACAAAATCCCATGGACAACATCTTAAGCCGTACATATGCATACACAGCTAATCACATCACCCAGCATATAATGTGGGCAAGCTTTAGGACATGCTGACAATAGCTACATGCAGATCGCTATGTGGTTGCTTGTTATGCAAACCCTGATGCAGTTCAAATCCTGTAGCAAAGATTGTTCTCATTAAAGCCTTGGAATGGTAAACTTTACAGCAAATTATCAGCAGCTCATGAGGGTGCAGCATCTGTTTATTTTATCAGCAGAAATGCTGTCCGACAGGTTTTGTTAAAGCCCAGTTCCGCCTATCTAACAAATTTGATATTGAGAACCAGAACAGCAAAATAATCAACTCCGTAAACATCATTTATTACCTATTGTCACAGACATGTCCCCAAAGCAGAAACAGCACTAAAGCACATCAAACATTTACAGATTAATGGCTCAACTGCAGGTAAACATTATTACTGTTCAGAAGCATGACATTACCAGCTTCTTCACGACTACCATATTAACGAAAATTTTAATCCATCTGAAACAGATCGATTTTAATCGATCTGTTTCAGATGGGGAGGCTGTGATTGGGAGGTCTACAGAAAGCTAACATAGGTTGCAAATGAAGAAACACTGAGTTTGATTGAATGAAACAATGAGCTGTAACTGTCTGCATGTATAAAGGATAACTTTACATGCTTGAATTACACTTTTGTGATCTTCTGTAGTGATTTAAAGTACACACATTAATGCGAACTGTGTTGCGTGATAATGTGCAAGATCCCGTATGAGTCCACTAGTGTACAGCCACTCTCAAACATGTGTGAGATATTGCTGCCATATTAACCTAAGCTTCAAAGAAAGCAGAAACATCGAGAGTAAAGGAGGCATACATTGAGCATGTCTATCGATCATATCAGGGGCGTAACTAGAAATCACAGGGCCCCATAGCAAAATTTTGTATGGGACCCCTTTGATCTCTAATTTCCCCTTCTGCTTTCAGTTGACCCTCTGCAGAGGTCGGACACACTCCATGCTTAGTCAGACATATAGCTCTGCAATTGGCAAAGCGCATGCTCTCTGCTAATTGGGGAGCAATTGCTAAAAGCAGAGATTACTGCTTACCCTCAGAGAATAACAGTCCCAATTTGCATTATGCTGGGAGGACAAAGGCTTTTCTACAGGCTTTGCTGGGAGGACACAGGCTTTTCTACTCAGGCTGTGGCTGCTTTAGAAAGAAAGCAAACTGTAAACATTGGACACTAAAAACACAAAGCGCACAGCTCACCCCTATCATGTGTCCTCGCAATCCACACTCGGTGCACGGATGACTCTCTTCTAGAATGATAGGCTCAAAAACTGTAGAATAAGCACACGAGGATTTTTCAAAGAAATTCAAACTTTATTTCACATGCATCTATACAAAGAACAACCGCTGACGTGTTTCTGCCTTACTCGGCCTTAGTCATAGCTGGTTGTGATCTAACACCAACCCCACAAAAATTGCACGCCAGACAGGGCAGGGAGAAACACTTAGGAGTACCTATATCTAATAAACAGTCCATGTGATTAAATTTTATTTTAGTGGGGTTGGTGTTAGATCACAACCAGCTATGACTAAGGCTGAGTAAAGCAGAAACACGTCAACGGTTGTTCTTTGTATAGATGCATGTGGAATAAAGTTTGAATTTCTTTGGAAGATCATCGTGTGCTGGTTCTACAGTTTTTGAGTTTGTAAACATTGAACACCTTTTGTATTGTGCTGGGCTATTCATTTTATATTTTTACTTTTGGCAGGAGTTATGCTTTAAGCAGCTCAGTGAGCAAGATGGTGAGCACAATTTTTCCAACAGTAATTTTGCCATTATCATTAGTGCTGTCTTAATAATGAATAATGACTTTAGTAAAAGCACCTATGCAGCAAATGACGTGTGCAAAACTGTGGGAGAAAACAAAAGAGAAGGGCGCCCACCCTAGTGTAGATTCTTTTTTAATATTGTATATTGAGGTAACAATAAAAACACTCACAAAAGTGAATCAAGACAGAAGTGTATAAGGTAAGCCAGAATGACATCTGCAACAAGCTGCACAGAAGATTGTGTGATAGCACAGGACTCCTTATGATGGCGCGTTTCCGGGGCCACGCCCCCTTCGTCAGATCTGAACCGAAACGCGTCATCGTAAGGAGTCCTGTGCTATCACACAATCTTCTGTGCAGCTTGTTTCAGATGTCATTCTGGCTTACCTTATACACTTCTGTCTTGATTCACTTTTGTGAGTATGTTTTTATTGTTACCTCAATATACAATATTAAAAAGAATCTACACTAGGGTGGGCGCCCTTCTCTTTTGTTTTCTCCCACAGTATTACAGCTTCCCAGGCTGAAGTGGGGCAGCACCCCTAGTAATCCTCACCCGCAACTATCCTTCATTTGTTGGTCATCGTTTGGCGCTTCTGATTCATTTTTTATTGACGTGTGCAAAACGTTTAGGACCTCCCAATCTGACCCTCCTACTGTATAACCTCCACTGACTGCATCTGCAAATTGCCGGTGAGCAGATAGTGTCTTCCTCTGGATGGCTCATAAAGTAATGGCCAACCAGAGACAGAAACTTCCCACCTGGCTAAAGGTGCCCATACACTTTACAACCCTCGCAAGACTTTTGTCTTGTGAGGGTTATAAAGTACAAAACGTTCGATCTGCCCATATTGGACAGGCAGATCGTACCTGCAATCATCGCAAGCCCGCCCCCCTGAGGGGTGGGCTTCCGATGACTGCAATGCTGAACGGGCAGTGTGCGCATGCGCACACCGGCCCGTTCGGCAGTGATCTCTCGATCTCTCAGTGATCGTACGATTCTCGGCTGGTTTTCCAACATGCTCGATATACAAAAGATGTGCGACCGTACAGTAGAAACGGTCGCACGCCTTCCATACACTGCACGATTCTCGTACGATCGCGGGATTTCCCGCGATTCTCGTACGAGAATCGTGCAGTGTATGGGCACCTAAAGGTGTGACGCCATGGAAGGCTTCAAATATTGAGCGCAGGTTTTCTGGTGCAAGGCTTATGTTTTTGGGTTTTACAAAGTCTAATTACTGCTAGAAAGGCAGAATGCAGTTTCCTGAGCCGTCATTGCTGTTGTTTTGTATTTCTGCAGTAATCCTTTACATTTTCTGCTTCTAATAAATGCACCTCCAGCAAATCCTTCTCCAGATGTAAATTCTGTACCTATTTTTAAACACTCTGGAAGCACACTGCGCTGCCTAATGCATTATGTAAGATCCCTTTCTTCAGCTGACTTACCCAATGAAGTGGCCCAATGCAGACCTTGGCAGCAAGGAGCAGAACAGTTGGGTCTGTGGGACGCAGCTTACAGCACTCTCTCAGCACTGACACAGCATAGGCATACTGTAGGAGGAAAGGTGAAGAAAGGATTAGACATTCAAAGCCAGAGAAGCCATTAATCATTATTTGTACACACGCACATAGAGATGCATATTTCGTTTATAAAGTTTTTAGACTGCCACCATATTTTGCAGCTTTTTACAGAGCATACTAAACACTTCCCAATTCACCTGCCAGTATGTTTTATGTCTGTGAAAAAAACAGAAACATTTCAGGTGTATGTAAACCTTATCATGGACTTCTCTCTCATTTGTTCCCTTTTGGTGTGTTAAATATACTATTGAAGGTGCTATGTTAAATCTGTTAGATTAGTAAAAAAAAAACAAACAGGTTGATCCTGTCAGAAATCCAGGGAGCTGATAAATTGTGCATTCTACCTTTGCTGTGCTCTTATCAGTTAGTGTGGTCCCCATCTCTCTCTGTGGAGTACAGAACACATCCCCTTTGTCATGGAGAGGAGGAGAGGAAGGTATTCTGTAGTACAAACGCGTTGGGGGGAATTTATTAAAACTGGAGCAGACAAAATCTGGAGCAGCTGTGCATGGCAACCAATCAGCTTCTCTCTTCAGTTTGTTCAGTTAAGATTTGAAAATGAAAGATAGAGTCTGATTGGTTGCCATGCACAACTGCTCCAGATTTTGTATGCCCCAGTTTTGATAAATTCCCTTCACTGTGTCTTATAGTGGCAATGTTGCTCTTCCATAGATACAGTATAGTAAGTAAATGTTGTCACCTTGGGACCGGAAGTGTGTTATTTGCAGGATTAATAGGTAGAAATAAAGGGGGAAAAACCTGCAAAAAAAGAAAACGATTGGAGCTACCACATCTAAGGACTGGTAAGACACAATATTTTACATCTTTATTCTTGGGTTTAGATACATTATAATGAAAGCATATGCAAACCCAGGTATAACATACAAATTCCATGCAGCCAGCTTTTATGGTGTAAACTAAACTAATTTACATATTGACATGACAGTTCAAAACAGCTGCCTTTAAAGGCATGGGTAAAGTGAGATCCTAAGTGTGTTTCCTATGTCAGCCAGAAGTCTGAATGGTTGTTGCAGTTTTAAAGAGACAGACACGCGCTGTCCATTATAGAGTTCTTGCTCTGGAAGCTATATTCTCCATTGTTAATTTTGGATCGCCTGTTGCTGATTACGTCCTCTAACCTGACCTTGCTCCTTGTCTGATACCCAGATGTACACTACTAGTTTCTGACCTCCCTTTTGTCTTTCCCTGACCTTGGTCCTGTCTGATGGCCTGGGTCTGTCTGTACTGCTTACTGTTACTACGAATGCCATCCTGTGGATTCACTCCAGGAATGCCCACTGCACGAATGTATCTTCCCCAAAAGGCACTGGTAAAGCCACCTCACTTGGCTACAGTATATTTTCATCCATCTGTAACTCTCAACATCCTCTATTATCCTCAATGCATCGTCAATGCAACTCAGAAATCCTTACAGTTACAAGGATCATGTTAAGATTGCAAAACTGAAATCGTGTTTGACTGCTTGTAATAGGCAAAGTGGTTTGTCTTGACTGCGAAACATGTACAATATAGCGCTGACCCCATCAGATGAGATAACGTGTGGATATTAGTCATTTGACATATGAGTGGAACGTGCCAAAGTACTCAATGGTGGGGGAAATGTAGAAGTCGTCTGCTGTGATACATCAAATTAAATATTTCCCATATACCTACTTAAGATGTGTTGTATTACACAATTAAATACTATTCTTTCAATGATGATGTAAGCCTACATGTGAATCCATTGGAGAATCGCCTGAGTAGTCCCAGTACCCTGTGTTCAATTATCTGTTGATATTGAAGAGGGATGTTGAGCTACAGAAGCATGTAACAAAAGTCTAGTCCATTTAAGCGATTTGGTTGTAATAGACAGCACTTTCAATGTTATAAACACTGATTAAACAGAGAATAAATAGCAACTAGGCGAAGCCGGCCATGAAGTCAGGCCGGCTCCGCCCAGTTGCTATTGTTTAATGACAGATCAGCATCCCAAGGTCATTTGTGGACGCTGATCTGTCATTACAACTGGGCGGAGCCAGCCGTGAGATCACAGCTGGCTCCGCCCTGCTGTCATGTGAGGGCGAAGGCAGGCTGTTCTCCCGCTTAGACTGTCACTTCAACTCAGTCGAGTTGAAGCATGTGCCTTCAGCTCGGCTAAGCTGCTCGGTCGCTATTGTGAATAGCCCGTACATCAACCCTTTGGTTCGACTGAGGAGAGCTGAAATATCAGCCGAAGCAAGGGCTGGATCCTTCAGCTTTTTAGTGAAAAACCCCCTAGATATTTCCTTTTATAAGTATCTGTGTCAATTTCAGCTATTGAGCTTTGTAAACAGCAGCTTATCTTTTTCAACAGGAGAGCCTGGAAAACACATGAAAGAAAGCTCAAAGCTTGACCTGTTGGCTGAAAAGGAGAATACAGAAAAATAATATATAGTAATTCTATTTACCTCACTAAAAAAGAAAATTACTAGTTTAAATATTGTATTTTTTTAATTCCTTGCTATAATAAATAAAAATGTTCAAAATCGCAATACACTCCCTACAAAGTAGGAGGATGTTTCCCCTCACATAACAAAGAAACTGCAGGGTGTCTGCTTTTCCTCCCCCTCACCTCAGAATTACTTCTTGTTATTTTTATCACAAAGGTACCCTTATTCATGAAATCATTTTCTAGCTGCTAAACGGCATTGCATCTATGGATACAATGAAGGGGAACGAAGCAATAGGTTATCAGATCTACCCCCCACCCACTGCTGCTTCTAACCCATTCTGTCTTCACTGTGAGCATCTTCAACTCTTCCTTACCTCAACGGAGCTTCACAGAACTGTGTAAACACACCTCCGAATGCCAGCAAATTAAAGCTGCAAATCCCTGGACAAATATACTTTTATAATAGAAAAGAAGAATCTTTATCTTAATTCCTCCAAAAATAACAGCAGAAGCAACTTCATTTTCCAGAGTTTTAAATGAAAATCATTTCAGTGTCATCAAAGCAGAGCTACATTGATCTCCATCATTGTGTTCCTTCATCACCTTTCACTTGTCTGTGTTTTACGGATAGGAATAAAATTATATTTAGATGTCGATCTCTAGTAGCTCCCACATTTGGCTGGCCTTATAAATCTGTTTTTCCAAACGCTTTGTCCAATATCCAAAACGCCCTAAACATTAGGGTGCTAAAGCGGAAGTAAAGGCAAGTTTTTTTTTGTAAATACCCCCCGGAGATTTAAACCATAATCTGGTAATCTGCACAGCATATTAGCACATTATGGAAGATTTACCTGCCATAGCTATCCCCTCCAGTGCCGCACTCATCTCTCCCTGCCACTTCCATCTTCTCCAGTCTTTTAGTGCCAATGTTGTCAACTTTGAAGATTAATGTATCCACAATGCCTATAGCTACAGAGGTGAATGAGGGTTTGTTTGATCTGCGCACAGGTTCACTGACCCAAAACAAGTATTCTAAATAAAGCTTTTTTTTTTTTTTTACTTACTTTACTAGTACTCTGTGAATGATTCAAAAATAATAGCCAGGCAGCTATCACATTCAGAATGTAATCAGCATTTAAACAAATATATATATTTTAAATAAAATAAATAAATAATTGGGCAGGCCCCGGCCAATAAATAGCAACTAGGCGAGCAGGGGTGCCCGTTAGGTAGATCGTGATCTACCAGTAGCTCTCAAAGCTGATGCTGGTAGATCATGAAGGGTGTGAATGACAGCCCCTTTGTTCCATTTTGGTATATTTATTTAGCTGTGCACACATGATTACCTATTAGCCTGAGTCTGCTGAGTCAAGCTCCCTGACACCTTTCTGGTGGCTACTGGTGGTTGATGTGCTATGTATTACATCAAAGAATATTAGTTTACACAGCCTGTTGCAACATACAGCAAGGTGAGCCAGGAGAGAGAGAGCAGGGAGAGACAGACAGGAGACAGAACAAGGAGAGACAGCCAGGAAAGAGAGAGCAAGGAGACACAGCCAGGGGAGAGAGCAAGGAGAGACAGCCAAGAGAGACAGCCAGGAGAGAAAATGAGGAATGACAGCCAAGAGAGAGAGGAGAGACATCCAGGAGGGAGAGCAAGGAGAGAAAGCCAGGAGAGCGAGGAGAGACAGCAAGGAGAGAGAGAGAGCAAGGGAGGTTTTTTTTTGCGTTAGTAGATCTCATGTAGCTCGCCATTTGAAAGGTAAATCTTAAGCAACCCTCATATCTCTATAATGACATTTACATTATCATTAAGCTGTGTTTTGTGAATGCAGGGCTTGTAAAACCTCTAGAAACCCATATACTTACCTTTCTTGTGCCTCCACACCACTCCACTTGGCCACCAAGACTAAAATAAAAGCCATGTATCAGCTACAAGTCACTGAAGCTGCAGCTTGCATAAGACTACGCACTACACATTAACAGTGATGATTGGTCTAGTGCAGGGGTCAGCAACCTTAAACACTCAAAGTGCCATTTGGACCCGTTTCCCACAGAAAAGAAAACATCGGGAGCCACAAAACCCTTTTGACATTTAAAATGAAGATAACACGGCATATATCGTTTTTTTACCTTTATGCTATATATAGCATGTATATAGGTATATGTGCGCTTAGTAACGCACTGGACTCTGGACTTACCTGAGACCCCGCAGAGCCCACCAGAGAGTGACCATGCAGAGCACACCATAGATCCTGCAGAGCCCATCTGAGACTCTCTATGGTGGGCTCTGCAGGGCCTCAGGTGGGCTGCTCGCCGGGGTCTCTTTCCCTGTACCTCCTCCCAACTCCTCTTACCTGCTGCTGCTGGGGCCTGGCCTCCTTCACCCCCTCACTTCTGTTCAACAGCTTTTCGGTCCTGAAATGTCACTTCTATCCGACTCGGTGAGTGCAATCTCACATTCCACCCGACTCACAAAGTCGGATAGAAGTGACATTACAAAACCGAACAGCTGTTCCAGGGCAGATCGGTTCTCCTG